AGCACCGAAATGTGCGCTGCTTTTCGGTCTGGTTACTACCGTTTATGTCAGAACCGGTGCCATCATGGCACCGGATACCGGTACCATCCCTAGTCACAAGCTTATGGTAGTGACTGAAAGAATGAGATTGCAGCAGCTGAGGTTTCTCTAAGGGTGGCTGGTTAGAGTGAGGAGTTGAGACATTTGAGAGGGGCTCGGGGTAGAGCTGCTACTCCTCCGTATCAGAAGGAGCCAGTTGATGTGGTTTGGGCATCTGACAAAGATGCCTACAAGGTGCCTCCTGGGTGTGGTGTTCTGGGCATGTCCCACTGGAAGGAGGCCCATGGGAAGACCTAGAACATGCTGGAGAGATTACATATCTCAGCTGGGCTGGGACCGCCTTGATGCTTCCCCCGGATAAGCTGAAGAAGGTGGCTGTGGAGAGGGAGGTCTAAGCCTCTGTGCAGCTGCTGCCCTGCGATCCGGCATGGATAAGCAAGTAAATAAATGTCTGTAAATTTTAATGTTTAAAATTAAAATTTTAAACATTAAAAATTAAAACACTATTGATGAGATAGATTACAACATCAAGAGAGGGACTGTAGAATGCACATTTTTTTAAACTGTCAGATGGGACAGGTTAAAACACTGACACTCAGACTCGTTACCTTTTCTTTTTCCTCTTTTTCGTTGTTTTGTCCATACTGTGTGTTTCATGATTCTTGTTTGTTACACTTCAAAAGTAACTAAGGGCTCTATGTTTTCTAAATTTCTCTGAAACTGTAATAAAAATGACAAACATGCCAAATCCGACACTTGCAGCCTTCTATTTTTTGGTAAGGCAGTAGGTTTTTTCGTCTTTTTCTCCCTCCTTCCCCGTGTGTTTAGTACCTATGAGTCCGGCATAGGCTCGGAGACAGAGGCCTGCTGAATCTTTCAGGCAGCCGCTGGCTGTCAGATGAGACGGTTGGCAGTTATTGAGGAAATCAGCCAGTCTGGACCTGGCAACAACACAAACAAACAGTCAATATCAACATTAAAAGCAGGCAAGACTAACTTACACAACACCTTCTTATGTATAATAAACTTAGCACAACAAATAAGAAAATTTGTCTTTGGCTGATTATTTCTTTGCTGTAGAAATACTTCTTAGCAAATAATCATCTGTCTTTAGAAAGTCTGTTCATTTCCCATTAAATGGCGTCACATTTGTAAAGAGAATGCATTCATGGTTTGAGCAGTTGAGTATATGGGTTGCACCCATGAAACATTTGCCAAATATTATCTGCCAAATACTAGACAGCTTATTCTGTTATTGACTCTTGTTTTGATCCTCTGTTACTGTAGACACCAGCTGATGATCAGGTGTTTGATTGGCACCTCTGAACGTGGACCCTGCTACAGCAGTCAGTTGGTGTCTCCTTCAAACTTGCCATGTTTGATAGATGTGGACAGGGCCCATGCCGTAGGGCAATTTCAAGCAGGTGTTCCACAACACCAAGCTGAAATTTTATTTGGAGTGAGCCCAAATACCATCTCCAAATAGAAGTTTCATGTTCATATATATGTGGGATGTCAGAGACACGCTGCAAAGTGGGCCGCTCCCAAGAAGACAAAGCCAAGATTGTCAACTCTCACCACCTAGGACCTTCTACAGATTTGCAGTCAAGGTTTGCAGGACAACATGACTAATTTCTCTAATTGCACACAGTCAATCTGTGATTTCAAAAGGGTGCCAGGAGGCCTGCTGATTGGCCTTCACTATTTGTGCTGGTGTTGGCAACGTGCGCACTGGAAAGTGAACATGTGGAGAAATTTTATGTGGCGTGATGAGTCCAGATTCTGCCTATGGCAGAGAAGATGCAGAGAATGCTATATTGACTGCTGGACCAATATGGTAACCACTTTTGGTGGAGGCAGTGTAATAGTGCATCTTCCTCACTAAAGAAAAACAAGGGTTTCAATCATTGGATGCATAGCAGTGAAAATGTCTGCTATGCCTTCTGATGATGCTGCCTAAGGGAAGCATGTATAATGTAAATAGAATATAATTGGTCCTAGCATTGAGCTCTGTGGAACTCCATAATTAACTGGAGTCTATTAGATAGATATGATACAAACCACTGCAGCACATTACCTGTAATACCTACAGCATGTTCTAATCGCTCTAATAGGATATTATGGTCGACAGTATCGAATGCTGCACTAAGGTCAAGAAGGACAAGCACAGAGATGAGTCCACTGTCAGAGGCCATAAGAAGATCATTTGTAACCTTCACTAAAGCTGTTTCTGTGCTGTGATGAGCTCTGAAACCTGACTGAAACTCTTCAAATAAACCATTCCTCTGCAGATGATCTGTTAGCTGTTTGACAACTACTCTTTCAAGGATGTTTGATATGAAAGGAAGGTTGATGATTGGCCTAAAATTAGCTATAAGCTGTTATGCCTGTTGTACATAGCTGATTAAAAGAGAGGCTGATCATGTTTAAGACTGAAGCATTAATCAATATTAGGACTTCTTTGCGCAGCTGCTAGTTTTAGTCTCTATAAGGAGGTTGAAACCACCTACAATAATTGTTTTATCTGAAATGAGCATTAAATCAGATAAAAAGTTTGAATTCAGACAAAAACTCTGAATAAGGCTCAGGTGGTGGATAGATGATAACTAATGAAACTGTTTTTTGAGTTTTCCAGCTAGGGTGGACAAGGCTAAACATTAGGAATAAATGAATGGATGTAAACTGTCCGGGTCTTGCTGATTAACAAGCTGGAGTGCAAAACTTCTGCCGCCACCCCGTCCTGTGACAATTACATTTAATCTTCCTAGAAATGTGAGTTGCTCCAAAGTGGTTGGATGCCATCTCTCCTAACCAGACCAGATTTCCCCCAGAAAGTTTACCAATTAGCTATAATGCCCACATCCTTTTTTGAACACCACTCAGACATGCAGCAATATAAGGAGAACATGCAGCTAAATGTGTCAGTCGTTATCGGAAAATTATCGGTAAATTTCCCTTAATGTCCTCTGCTCTGGCCCCTGGAAGACAATTCACTATGGGTGTTGGTCTCTCTAGCTTCACGTCTTCAAACAGAACCATGTGAAACCAAGTTGGTGACCAGGAGGAGTTGAGCATTAGAAGTGCCAGGCTGTTGTCATTGTCTATGGTTCTTTCACATGCTACTGAGGCCCCTGTTTGTTCCATCCATCAGCCATCCATTTTCTGATGCTTATCTGAGTTCAGGCAGCAGTCTCAGCACAGAAGCCATGACATCCCTCACCCAGCCACCCTTTTCAGCTCATACGGACATTCCCAAGACAGCTGAGAGATAATATCTCTCCAGGAAGTCTTGGGTCTGTCCTGGGCCCTCCTCCTGGTACAACATGCCAGGAACACCTCACCTAGAAGGTGTACAGAAGACATTTTAGTTAGATTCCTGAATCCCCTCAACTGTGTCGACGAGCAGCAGCTACTCAGTCCCTCTTGAATGACTGAGCTCCTCACCCTTTGGCTGGGCTGGGCTCTCTTTCTACACTTGTATTCACAACCTCATTCTTTCAGTCACTAATCAGAGCTCATGACCATAGGTGAGGGTAGGAGCCTAGATTATCTGGTGAATGAATAGCTATGCTTTAACACTCAGCTCACAGATTAGTACAGCACCTGCATCAGTGCAGACACCTCCCCGATCCATCTGCCTTATGTTCCACTCTAACTCACGAACAAGACCCCGAGATACTCGAACCCCTCCACTTAGGCCAGTAAGTTGTCCCTGACCCAGAGTGTGTATGCCAACTTTTTCCAGCTCAGACTTGGGGGTGCTAATTCTAAATTCTCAGGCCACCAAAGTGGAGAAACTCCACTACTTGGCTGCCCTTTACATGCTGTTCTATCCATAAAAACTTTGAACAAAATCAGTGACAAAGGGCAGCTCAGGGGGAGTCCAGCAACCACCGGAAATGAGTCCTACTTATGCCCCATACTCCCAAAGCACCCCCCACAAGGGACCTGGGCAAAGGCCTTTTGTAAGTCCACAAAATGCATATAGACTAGTTGGGCAAACATACACCCTTCAAATATCCTTAAGAGGATAAAGAGTTGGTCCCGTGTTCCACGACCAGGATGAAAACAGCACTGTTCCTTCTGAATCCAAGGCTCAACTAACAGATGGACTTGCCTTTTCATTACTCTTGCATAAACCTTCTCAAGAAGTTGTAGTCGGAGCACACCCTCCAGCCCCCCTTCTTAAAGATAGGAGCCACCACCTGAGCCTGCATATTCAGAGGAACTATTTGAGACCTCCACATGACAATGCAAAAATGTGTCAGCTAGGACAGCCCTACATCGACAGTCTTCAAGAACTCTCATCCACTCCAGGGGGCCTGCCACTATGCAGTTGTTTAACTATGTGAGTGACTTCTCCCCAGTGATTAGCGAGTTGTCTTCACTCAAGTATCCAAAACATACGGCGGCAGATCTGATGATACGATTACAAAATCAGCAGCTGTTCTGCTCTACTAGAACCCTAACTTTAGTGACTGGATGAAGATGACAGACAAGACCTGTTCCCAGACCCAAAGCAACCCACTTGTCTTTATACATACAAGTATACCCACTGCTGCCTGCCACCTCTCGCTAAGGGTAACTCCAGAGTGGAACAGAGTCCAACCCCTCTCCAGAAAACTGGTTCCAGATCAGGTAAGCCAGACTATATCTAATTGGTTTCTCCGAACCTCGCTCAGCCTCCTTCCCCACCAGCGAGATGGCATTCCATGTAACACAGTCAGTTTTGGAAGCTGGGGATTGAAGCACCAACATCACCACCTATGACTGCCACCCCATTCTGGACAAAGTTTGCAGAACCCTTGAATTGTTATGCTGCATAGAGATTGTATGAATCACTGCTCACCCAGCATCTGCCATGGAGACCCTACCAGGGGCCCTGACAACATAACTCCAGGGATCAATGGGACACACCAACCACTCTATTGCAATAAGGAGTCAATTTATAGGAGGAGGACACAGGAATCATAATTTGTTAAACTGCTAGTATGTCTTGCTCCTTCAGATTTAAATTATCCAAACCATTAAACAACATGAAACAAGAGTCAATTGCTGAATAAAGTGTTTGGCATTGGAAGCAAAATCTTTCATTGGCTGAAATGTAGCCCCAAACCATAACAAAGCCTCCATCAAGTTTTACAGATAACTGTAAACGCTCACTGTTAATCCTCTCCTGACCTACTTCATACATACTGATAAAATTGGCAACAGGTCTTCAATCCAAAGTTTTTGTTTTTTGGTTTAACTCTTTACGTTGAAATCGTATGTAATTTGGTATTTCTTTTGGGTTTCTTTCCTTAAGAATGGCTTATTAACTGCAACTCTTGCACTGAGAGCATTACTGATGAGGTTGGATCCGAGAGTAGACAGATCAACTTAAGACCCAGATGCATCTCTCAGGTCCTATGTCAGATCTTTGCAGG